ACCCTCACCCTCCCACCCCCTTGTTGTGCCACCCTGCAGCCTCGCCCGGCTCCTGCTCTGGGCACGTATCGCGGTCAGAGGAGAGGAGAGGAGATGGAATCCAGCCCAGGCTTTGAAAAGTTTGGGGGTCAAGCAGCTGGTTCTAAGCCTCAGCCCTTCTCTGCCGTTTCTTGCTTAGAAAGAGCTCCCTGCCCTGAAAAGCGACAGTTTAAGAACGTGGTGTCCGCACGGGCAGCATGCGAGAAGGCAGCCCTCTCCCCTGGTTAATTCTTCTGGCTCCCATCACACCTCAGTTTTAGGATTTTTCCTTCCCTGGCGATGTAGGGGAATTAGCAAGGCACATCTACGTGGTTGTTTATCCAAGTGAAACGGGGCCACGGGGCCGTGTTTCTGTACAGGCGGGGGTGATGCAGCGTTTGTGCTGTTTCACCCTGCTGGTGAACCCGAGAACCTGTCCGGGGTGAGGATCTGAACCTCTTTTTTTTCTTCTTCACAGAGCACCTTGAGTGATGCCCAAGAAGTTCCAAGGTGAAAATACCAAGTCGGCTGCTGCCCGCGCGAGGAAAGCTGAGGCAAAGGCAGCAGCCGATGCCAAACGTCAGCAGGAGCTGGAAGATGCCTACTGGAAGGATGAAGACAAACACGTGATGAGGAAGGAGCAAAGGAAGGTGAATAGCTGGTCAGGTAGAAGGGTGTCTGTAGCTGGTCCTTTGCTAAGCCTGTGAGATCCAGGCTTGCGTGGAAAGGGTTCCTCCTCCTCTGTCCCCCCGCTCTAGCTGTGTCTCCACGCTCATTTCAGGCAGAAGAGCTGGAGTTAGTGGCTTCTCTGGGAGCTAAAAGAAGCGGAGCGTGGGAGTAAGTGTAAGCTTTGTGTAATTCAGAAATCTGGTGGATCTTAGAGCTGCCTTCCTGAGGGAGGCAGCAAAAGCTTCGTTGTCGGAGTCATTTAAAATTGAAATAAGTAAAAGACCAGGAACTCCGCTGCAGGGTTTGATTTTTTTATTTTTTTTTTCCCCCAAGCAGTTCTTTAGCTTCTTTCCCTCTCTTAACTTTTCTTTGATTTTTGTAGAAAGAAAAAGGAATCGGCAGGATTAAGAGTTTAAAAGCTTCCTTTGTTTTTTTATCCCTCTCCTCTCTCCCTGACTTGGTGTGCCCTACATCAGGACACATCTCTCTCTAAAGATTCTCTCTGCAGCTTGCTCTGCCCTGGGTGCCTGTTTGCCACCGCGTTCAATAAACAGAGCACCTGAGTGATCCTTTCCGGGTTATTTGGTTTTTAATGCTGCTGTTTGTTAGACAGATCTACGTTCTAGCTCGGTGGATTTTTCTGGTTGTTGGTGATAGCTCAGCTGCCTCTTCTGGAGCAATCCCTTTACCCTCGTGCTCACCAGACAGGGCTTCTCTCGATGACATCAGCGGGGTTAAGGGGGTGACCGCCTTTGTGCCGCTCTGACGCAAGCGGGGGGGACTGGGTCTGTGCTGCTCTGTGAGCTCGAGGCTCGCGGAGCGTCGCGTGTCGGTGGTCGGGGAGCCCAACACGTCCCCGTGACCTCGGCGGCCGCGTACGTCTGCGTGAGTTCACCCCTGATACGTGTCTTGACGTTTGGAATTCGGAGTCCGGCGTGCTGTTCCCCGACACAGCCCTGTAATGCTGCCTAATTATTTCCTGGAACAAGGACTTGTTATTGCTCTACTTAAGGCTCAGCCAGCGGTGACCTATTTGACTGGGCTTCTAGAACAACCTCCTGCAGGCGAGGAGCGTGAGATTCTGGAGCAGTGAGCCGCTGACTGGAAAACTGGGGCCTATCCGGGACCCTCAGGCTGGGTTTTAGTAAAACCAGTGAGGTGGTTCCCACCTCAGCCACCCCCTCTCTCGGCATCGGCGTAGGTGTAGTCTGCAGGCCTCAATTTCACCCAGATGCCGCATTTTAGTTCATCTGCTTCCTAAAAAACTCCTGCCCTGGGGACCCTGCAGCTCATAGCGGGAAAAATCTCTGCTCCTGTGAGGATCTGTCCTTGCCAGAAGGATGTGGAGTAAAGCTGTAGCTGCAACGGGGCTCTTCCTGCTGCAG